TTTTTTTTTTTTTTTGCAAAATAGAAATGTAGAGAATTTTCCTCACAAATATCTTGCTAATGAAATGCAGGAAAAGTAACTTCTGTGTGAAAACTGATAAGTGGTAAATTAAAACTGAATGGTACCTTGGTGAAAACTGATAAGTTACCAATTAAAAGATAAACGATAAAGGTTTCATTTTTCCTTCTTAACTTGTGTTAGTTTAAGAGGTTTGTGTTGACAAAAAGAAAAGAAAAGAATAGGAACAGTTCTCCGTATTTTTTCACACAGAATGCCAATTGCTAAGAGCATCTTCCCACAATTCATGAGTTCAGTCATGTATTAACGCATTCTGTGTGAAATGAAACTCATCTTACTCAATCAAATAAGACCATGTAACATTCCTTCCCAATATTCATGTTAATAGATCGTGTAAAATTCAAATCACCTATTAAAACAAAAATTTCCTAGTGGCAACTGCATATGAAAAGCAACATGTTTCTATATAATTAATTTTGTAATTTTTGGGCATTTTTATGACAATTTATTTCTATATTTCTAATTTTGGGTAAATGAATTGCATCGATCATGCCTAAACTCACCTCTACAGATATGCATAATACATACCATTACATCTTTCCTATGACATCTTCCAACAAATGTCAGCCACAATGCTACTTTCACTGAAAGAAAATTATCTAGGGAATATGATTTTGATGTTAACCATTTCCAGTTTACATGGGATTTGAACGCAAAACGGGAAAGGGAAGGTGGAACACTTCGTCTGGTTCATAGCAAAGTGAAGGAAAAGGTGGCAAACTAAATCATCAAACATATGCTCCTCTTTAAGAAGAGGAAAATTTGTAAGCTAAAGAATAAGGACAATGAGTGCCTTTCCAGTAACTTCCTGTGTATCTTTTCAATAGAAGGTTAGTTCCTAATTTATCTTTGTAACTTGCATCCAAATATAGAAAAGGACACGGAATAAACGCTAACCCTTCCTTCTTATTTTGTTTTAACAATTCAATCTTTTCATTCCATCCTTTATTATTTAGGTAACAACACAAAACAAAAGATTTGATTCTGACATGCACGTACACATAGTTAATGGGGAAGCAGCAAACTTAACTGCAAGGCGTTGGAGAACGGGGTCGGGGGCATATAAGGATTTGAAATACTGGAATATTAATTCAAGTGACACAAAGGGCATGATGAAACAGGTATTATTAAACAACAAAACAGAACTTAGTGTTTCGTAATTTAACGATGAAACAAGTTTAAATAACTTTCCAAAATTTTCTGAAGAGGAGGATGAAAGCTAAAGATGTGAACATGATCTAAATCATAAACATCATCTTGTCTGAACAAAACACACCTGACACGACAGGTCACAAATACATTCAACTTTAAGTTTATGCCAAAATATTGAACAATGATGACAAACTCAAACTTTACTACCTACAGAAGACTTAATTTATTGAAATGAAATGTTTAGGGATCAACTAACTAAAGCCTACCATTGTATATGGTAATTCATCAAATGACAACATGAATAAAGCATATAAACAATAAGAAACACTTAGGCATTAGGCAGAATGCAAATATACACCACCAAGATTACCTGTAATGGTAGTGTCCAAGGCCATGTTTAACGCCCCACTTGAATTCCCCCACATAACGGCTCCCATCCTCACAAGTATGAATACCACACCCATGGCTCTGCCCACTAGACCACTCCCCAGCATAGACATCTCCTGTATAAAACCTGTACACCCCAAAGCCATGCCTAAGCCCCTGTCTGTACTGCCCTCTATACCGGCTACCCCTCGCCCATGTCTCAACTCCATATCCATCATACTTACCATCCACCCAATCTCCCTCGTATCTCCCACTCATGTAATAGTAATACACCCCACTCCCACTACACTTTCCCTTGTGATATTCGCCCTCATACACATCCCCGTTGTTGTATGCCTGTACATAATACCCCGAAATTGCCTTCTTATCCGCCTTGAGTGAAGACCCAATTGACCAAAGTACTGGTAAATGCGGCCAGTTCACTTGTTTTTTTGCACGAATTTTAACTGGCAACGACCTGGCAAGGCACAACCATATCGTGGGAATTCTTGGAATGGCCAAATTGAGAGAAAACAAGAGCGCAGCAGAGAAGGCAAAGGCGGAGATGAAATCAAGAATAAAGAAGCTGGAAGGGTGGGAGACCAGGAAGTAAAAGAAGGGGAGACTGAGGAGAAGTATGAGGCGGAGGTGGAGGCGCATACAACCGCGTACGTAACGAACATGGTGGTGGAAGTGGGTCAAAAATTTCTGAGACCTAGTGTAAAGAAGATTAAATTTCGAAGGTGGGTGTGGTCCAGAAAACCCATATCTGTGAAGGGCATTTGACAAAGTCGGAGTCTTGCTAAGCGAACTCGAAAGTTGTTGAAGATAGGGTCTCTTCAAAGGTGAGGGTTTGATCGGAAACCGATCGTTTTGACCCTGCTGTCGATTTTCATCATTGATAAGGATCCGAAGGGTGCTGTTATTCACAGAATACGAAGAATTTGAAGGGTAGTGTGTATTTGGATGAAAATTTTGGAAAAGATGAGGGTGTTTTTGGGTTAGGGAAGAAGGAGGCAGTGGGGTAGGGTTGAAGTCGGAAGAGATGCAACTGCTTTCTGTTCCGATCTGAACTTCAGATAGGGTTAGGGAAGAAGGAGGCAGTGGGGTAGGGTGGAAATCGGAAGAGATGCCACTGCTTTCCGTTCCGATCTGAACTTCAGATTTCTTCAGACGCATTACATATGTAAAACCAAACCCCCCAAATTCACAAAACAGATTTAATGGAAGATTTAGTGCATGTGTTTGTGAGAGAAGAAGAGAGCAGAGGCTACAAGGAGTTTAATGGTGACTGAGAAAAGGATTAAATTTGATACCAATAGCGACCGGCCGAAAAAGGCCATGGACTTGTTATAAAGGATTTGCCTTTTTTTTAAATATTTGCCCCTAATCTATTAGATTGTTACCAAAGCTGCCACTCTGTTTGATGAATCCAATTATTATTTCGTTTTGGTCCTTTGATTTATAAGAGTTACAAATTAGTATCTCTAATTGTGAACCTTTTACAAATTTAATGAAAATTTTCTTTCCTTGTAATTACTACTTAATGAATAAAATATAATTTATAAAAATAGAAATGCTCAACTTTGGCATCGCTTTTTGAGTCAATAATAGGCACAAAGGAATTGAGTAGCTCAATTGATGTAGTTGATTATCGAATACACTGATACACATAACGAAAATTCTTGTATTCATACTTGTTTGGCTAATTGCATCTATCAATCCGATAAAAGTCCTAATTGAGAAAGAAAAAAGCATCATAAGTGGACGTGCAAGGGTTCCTAACTTGAAGGGATACCAACAGAGGCAAGATATAAAGTCCAGGGCTACTCAAATCCATTTTATCTATAATATATTAAATATCACATCAAGTAAGAATCATTTTTGGACTATTATAGCCATACTACAATTCAATTATTTCAATAATATCTTATTTTTCGTTTTTCAATATATATTTAATTTTTAAAATATAATAAATACTATAATTAATTCTCAATTAATTAAAATTCAAGTTCATTTAATATTTTTTTAACTTTTTGAACATTTTCAGTGAAAATTTTGAAAACACTTGAAACATGAAAGCAAGCGTTTAAATAAAATTTTAAAAAAATAAAAATCTTGAAGAAATAAATTCTAAAATTCTAAAAAAACTAAAATCTAAAAATAAAAAACAAAATTGAAAAACAAAATTATAAAGTATATTTAAATAAACACATAAAAATATTCTCAGTCCACATCATTAAATTTTATTTTATTTTTTTATATTTTGAACTCAATTTATTATTTCTTTTTATTTTTTCACAGTGAGAAGAAAATATTGTAAGATTTAGCAATTTTAAAATATATAACATTCATTGTATATATTTCTTGGTATTAATTCTAAATTTTTACATTCATATTAATTCATGTATCGTATTTGTCGTTCATCTTCATTTATGCATTTAGTTATAATTTTAATGCTCACATTCAAGTATGTATTTCATTATTTACGTGCTTGTAAAATAATTAACATTTATTTTCAGGGATTTGCATTTCTCTTATATTTAGATTAAAATGGTAAATGAATAGTCAAATATTACTTTTATGACACTTTTAAAGCATTTTAGAATAACATGCAACGTACGTTCACTTTGACTGATTTTTTTACATGTAAAAAAAAGTCCTTCCACTCGTGTCTAAATATCAGCAAATTGATACTGAATGTTAACAAAGGTAAAGAGTTCGAAAAATAAAATCATATAAGTAAAAGTATTTAATAAATATTATTTTTACTCAAACATTAAAAGTTACATCGAGGGTTGCAAAATTTACATGTAGCATCTCGTCATTGATCGGAAGTTTTTTTTTCCTCTAGTTAATGACATAGTGTTACATGTAAATTATGTAATCATTGACATACATGTAGCAAAGTCCATTTACTTATACGTGTTAAAATTTTGAGTTAAACTATTTGTACAATTATTTTATACAAGTAGTTTGACAATCCATGATGTTGTCAAACTAGTTGTAAATGTAGCAAAACTCATTGGGTTATGCTACATGTACATAATTTTTTACCTAATCTTTTACATCTCACTCACATTTGGAAGTGGGGACCACGAGCCGCATTTTTTTTAAAACATGGGGCCCACCGCATTTGTGAGGGGGGGACACCATTCGATCCCCCCCCCCCCCCCTTCGGTACATCCAGATAAACCCAAACTCATTTTGTTACATAAGTAGCAACGGTTGTACTACATATACATAATATGTTTACGTACACATAATGTGGTGATATATAATTTGATCAAAAAAAATTCAACCATATTTAAAAAATATTCATTCTTCATCACATAGATAATTAACTCAAATTAGGTGTTCTAACTTGACATACCAGACTATTTAGTACATTAAAATTAAACATAATTGAAGAAAATGATATGTGCATAGTGGAAGGTGCGATTGGATCACTTAACCGTCGGATAAAGCAATATTTATTGAATGTTTTATGCACAACTACACATCCAAAATGTAAAAAGGGAGCAATGTCCATATTTAAATTGATCAATATGGAAATCTCCTTTCATTTCTTAATGCGAAAGTAGAATGTGACTTAAGACACAAAAATTTGAAATTTGCTTCTGGTGAGATTCTAGAAGAATAAGAAAGAAGCTCATAAATCGACTTTTTGGGCACACAAAAGGGAAAGTGGAAATATGGCGCTTTTGAGCTAGAGTTGGACACTTGAGTGGGGTCGAAAAGGTGACTATGGTAAGCTTTTCTTAATGGTTGAATGTCCAATCTCGAGTCTCAATCTAACTAGAAGTTAAGATGCTAGAAATGTCTTCCACTCGACCCTACCCACCAAGGCCCTCAATCTCTAAGAGAGAGTTAGGATGAAGACTTGACCTTTTGTAGGACTAGCAAGAATGAAAGTGTCCTAGCCATTAGAGAATCACGCTACATGTACATTTTTTTTTATAACAAATTCGACATTGTGTCGTATCGTGTCATGACATCATTTGACAGCTTTCAAATAAAACACATATTCACGCCAATTTCAATTTGAAATTCAATGGAATGTAAATCACAATGTACACGAGAATGTACAATGTACAAGTTGTATTATCCTAAACTTAAAATGTAATTAAGAGAAAAGTACATGCTAATTGATTATTCACAGAATTCCATGTTTCTTTTCATTATTGTTACTTTTGTTTCCATTTTGCTTTGTTGGCCAGATGCAATCAATTGAGTAGAAAGCATTGAACAGACAAAATGAGTGTAGAAGTTGAGTTAAAAGGCAATCGATTGGTCTTTTTAACCTTTATTTAGTATTATTGTTCAGGAAATTCACATACTCTACTCATCATGTAGCTCAGACAATGTATATAAATGCAATTAAACCACTTGTACAGAACTATTTCATCTGTAAAAAGCCAGAATACTCACATGGGATGGGTCCCATGTGAATAAAATATTATTATAAAAAATGGGGCCCACCCCCCATGTGTGTGTTCTGTTATTTTTACTGAATTTTTTTTCCTGTAACAGTAGCATGGTTCATATAAATGTGCCTAACGAGAGAGAGAGAGAGATGGGTGGAATTTTCGAATTACTAATTCTTGTGTCTTTGACATGAATACATTTTGGTCAACAATACAAGAAGATAACAATAATGATACATTTGGGACTAGGCTATTCGTATTGGAATTGTATCCATAAAATTTGGCACACAAGCAACTAAAAATACGTGTAATTTAATGGCGGGCTAGTTTCACGACTACAAATATTTAGGGGATTAATTTAAAAAATCAGGTGATTTAAAAAGTATTTTAAAAATCAGAGTGACTTCTATCTTTTATTTTTTGTTATGGTGTATTTAATTTTTTTCGTGATACGTGACTTTATGTACCTTAAATCTTGTTTAATTCTTTCATTTCTTTTATTTCTTTTACAGAAAACACGACATGAATGAGCTACAATGACTGTAACGTACACAATATGTTAATTTAAATTCAAATCATGTTACAATGTATATAAATTTTTTTTTTAGAAATTGCAACTTACATTATGTTATTACCGTTATAGTAAATATTTTTTACAAAAAAAAAAAACTTTAATTTAAATTTGTTACAACAACATTGCTACTGTCACTGGTATCATATCACCACCAACAGTCACCCTATCAACAAAAGAATATTGCATACATTGTTGTTATGATGTGTATAATTTTCTTGCATTGTAACTTATTAACTTATGCGCCACCACCACCTCATACACTCCCAAAAGTCAGGACCATCAATATTATCGCCCCCATCATCACTAATAGTCACCCTATCAACAAAAGAAAATTATTTAGCCTTTCAAAATTCATTTTCAACCACACAATCTCCCAGAAAATAATATTACACGTAAACTAAAAAAATTTCCTTATTTTTAATCACACATTCTCCAACACGATTGAACTCTTTGGTTCACAAAAGAGATGTTGTTACTCTAATAAAGAAGTCAATGCTTTTTCTTCTTCGGTTGGAAGAATCTACTGCGGCCATCTCTACCCACCTTTATGAATTCTAACCCAAACCAGCCTTGTTGTAGTTTCATAGGTTACCGTAGTGGAATAGGAGCAATCAAACTAACATTGACATAGAGTTATACCACTTAAAGTTCTACATATTTTTCATATTTGTACGATTAAACAAAAAAATCATTATTCCAAAACTCATTTTCCCAATTTTCCTTCAAAATGAGCCCAAACGAGGGCTTACATTACTGTTACAATGTCTGATTTTTTTGTATTGTAAATTATTAACATGTGTACCACCACCATCGATGTTACAACCACTCCATGCACCAGCACCATTTACAGTCATCGGTGTTACCACCTCCATAACCACTAATAGTCATCCCATCAACATATGAAAATTACTTACAGTGCAGTTATAATGTGTGTACTTTTTTATATTGTAACTTATTATATATACACCACTACCACCACCATCATTGTTGTTACGCCTTGCCATCAAGGCTTAAGCCAAAACGTCATGTAGCAATCTACGTGGAAAGAAAATTCAACAAACAGTCAATTGGTCAAATTCACTTTTGGAAAATATTTTTCATGAAAAAATTATTAATTAAATAATTCAAAAGTAGGAACTTGGGTGAAAAAAAAAATAACTTGGGTGAAAAAAAAATAA